ACTTGGAGAGGTGGGGCCGGGGGCCAGCGCGGGATAGGTTCCAGGGTTAGGGTGTCTGGAGATCCACACCAGTGCCACCCAGGGATAAGGCACTTGGCAAAGTGGGTCTGGTGGCAGCGCAGGGTGGTCTCAGGGTCCAGAGGTCCTTGAAAGTGCAACTTGGGGGCACAGCACTAGATGTGCAGTGAAGAGAGGCAGGCAGGAAGGGAGAGGATGTGATGTGCAGAGCTAAGTGGGAGAGAAAAAGAAGAGAAAGAAAATAAAGCAAAAAAAAAAGTGAAGAAAGAAGAAAATATGTTAATAAAATGCCAGCTTGGTGGTAGTTGGCGGGTGGGGGCAGGGGAGACCCAGGGAGGTGCTGTGTGGTGAGTTTCTAGCCAAGCAGTGCAGCATGGCCCATCGAGAAGGGGCAGGGGTGGCTCATGGGCTTAGGTGAGTGGGATAAAGGAAAGGAAGGAAGGAAAAGAGAGAGAAGAAACAACAAACAACATCAACAAAAAATATGGTGCTGAGGGAACTGGCCTTTGGGGGCAGGGTGGAACCGGAATGGCAGCTGGCTGATGTTTTTCTCACTGGGCAGCACAGCATGGCCTGTCAGGAAGGGGCAATGACAGTGCAGGGCCTATGTGGGAGGGAGAAGGGAAATGGAGAAAGGGAAAGGTAAAGAAAAATAAAAAATATGGCACTGAGGGAACTGATCTGAGGGGATGGTGCAGACCTGAGGAGGTCATGTGCCAGTGGCTCTCTAGATGAGTGATACTACACGGTCCATCAAGAAGGGGTGGGAGCGGTGCCCGGGGGTAGGTGGGTGGGAGAAAGGAAAGGAAGGAAGGGACAGAAAGAGAAGAAATAAAAAATACAAAAACAAAAATATGGCTCTGAGTGAACTGGCCTTTGGGGGTGGAGCAAAACCAGGGTGTTGGTGAGCTGGTGTCTCTGTCGCTGGGCAGTGCAGCATGGCCCATCAGGAAGAGATGAAGGCAGTATAGGGCCTGTGTGGGAGGGAGAAGGAAAAGGGAGAAAGGGAAAGATAAACAAAATAAAAAATATGGTGCTGAGGGAGCTGGCTGGTGGAGGCGGCACAGACCTGGGGAAGCCGTATACCAGTGGCTCTCTAGCAGAGTGGTGTGGCACAGCCTGTCAAGAAGGGGCAGGGGCAATGCACGGAGCTAGGTGGATGGGAGAAAGAAAAGGAAGAAAGGGAAAGAGAGAAAAAACAAACAAAACCAAAAAAATATGGTGCTGAGGGAACCGGTTGTTGGGGGCAGAGTGGACCTGGAGTGACAGTGAGCTGGTGTCTTTCCAGCCAAACAAATTGTGTCCTGTTGGAAAGTGGTGGACGCAGCATACAGGACAGAAGGGTGGGGATGGGAAAGCATGTATTTCTGATTACTGAGTGCTCTGTCAACCGTTGGGAGCTCTGTGAAGTTGCCTTCCCGTATGTACTCCCTGTCCGGGGTTGTTGGTGGCTGTGATCCAAGATGGTGAATCTATGCCGTGTTAGCTGATAGGGGACCTCTACTCCGTAGCTCTCCTCGTTCTCTGTTCTCTGTCAGTTTTTTCTTCCATTTGCTGCTTGATCTAGTTCTTTATCCCTTCATTTGTTGCTTAGGGTTCCAGATTGACGTCTGTATCTGTTTTACTCAGTTATTCAGGTCTTTGCTGCAGAGGGATGGCATGGTACTGCTGTCTGTAGGGCCATGTTGGCTCTGCCTCTTGATTTCTGCAGCTTTTTAAAGTAATTTATTTCTGTTGTTGTTGTTGAGAATATACACAGCAGAGCATACACCAATTCAACAATTTCTTCACGTGACATTTGATTACATTCTTTGAGTTGCGCGACCATGCTCACCCTCCTTTTCTGAGTTGTTCCACCTCCATTAACAAACTCACTGCCCCTTAAATTTCTTATCTGATCTTATGAGTTGTTGATGTCAGTTTGATCCCATATAGATAGATCTTAAAAGAGCACAATGCTCAAGGCAAACATTCTGTTATAGTTAAACTAAACTGTTGTTTGATTTTAGTAATACATCAGGGGTCTGCAGCTTTTATAGAAAAAAAAATTTTTTTTAAAAGCAGGTAGCGTTAGTCCTTGTCTCAGTCATCTGGTGCTGCTCTAACAGAAACACCACAAGCAGATGGCTTCAACAAAGAGAAGTTTATTCTCTCAGAGGCTAGGAGGCTACAAGTCCCAATTTAGGGCGCCAGCTCTAGAGAAAGGCTTTCTTTCTCTGTCGACTCTAGGGCAAAGTCCTTGTCATCAATCTTCCCCTGGTCTAGGAGCTTTTCAGTGCAGGGACCTTGGGTCCAAAGGACACGCCTTCCTGGCTTTTCTTCGTTGGTGGTAATGAGGTCTCCACGTCTCTCTGCTTGCTTCTCTCTTTTATATCTCAAGAGAGATTGACTCAAGATGCAACCTAATCCTGTAGATTGAGTCCTGCCTCATTAACCTAACTGCCTCTAATCCTGCCTCATTAACATCGTCAAACCAAACCCAAACCCTTTGCCACTGAGTTGATGCTGAGGATAGAAGTGCCCCATAGGGTCTCCGAGGAGCAGCTGGTGAATTCAAACTGTTGACCTTTGAGTTAGCAGCCAAGCTGCTGGATTTACAACCATGGGAAAATCACATCAGATAACAAAATGATGGACAGTCACACAATACTGAGAATCATGGCCTAGCCAAGTTGACACACATTTTTGAGGGACACAATTCAATCCGTAACAGTCCTCCAACATTGTTCTTTTTTTTAAAAAAAAGTTTTGATTATTTCAAGTCCTTTGCATTTCCATGTGGGGGTTACGGAGTAAGATTATCACTTTGTACGAAAAAGCCTGCTGAGGTTTTGATGGGGATTGTTTTGAATCTATAGGTCAATTTGGGGAGAATTGCCATCTTAACAATATCAAGTCTTCCAATCCATGAACCTGGTATGTTTCTCCATTTATTTAGATATTTTTTCTCTCAATAATCCTTTGTAGTTTTCATTGTACAGGTCTTGCACTTCTTTTCTTAAATTTATTCCCAAGGATTTTATTTCTGATGTTATTGTGAATGGAATTTTTTCTTACTTTCTTTTGAATTCTCAAATTGTTATTTTAACTTTAAGCTTTTTCGACATCACTTATTATGCTCTGTGCAGCCCTGTGTAGGGCATATCTGCCTGCACCCACCATATCTGACATGGGGAGGTTGGTCCTGCCCAGCCGTTTCCAGCAGTTCTTTCATGGTCTTGCAGAAGCCCCACCATTACCAGACCATGGGGATGCAGACTGCCATGATTGTGAAGGAAGCGTGCATTACGAAAGGGAAGCCTGTGGTGCAGCTCTTTGCGTGGGGAACTTGAGTGTGCTCAGTTACATCCACCTTGAATGACGGATCTCAGAGTCCAAACTGCTTGTATGATGAAGTCAGACGTTAAACAAACTCGGAGTATACATCATATAAAGCAGTGCTAACATGTGTCCTAGGCCCAATGACAGTTTTTCTCCTAAAATCAGTGTGCATATATGTATGAATGTGTGTGAAGCTTTGCATACAAAATGCATCATCCCAAGGTCAATATGAATGGGCTGTCCTAGGCCAAGTTAGGAGGTCACCAAAGTTTGATTTGTGGCCCCAGTGCTCCCTTTTCTCCCCTAGGTAGAAAGCCCTTCCACTCTGGTTGCTCTGTACCCACCTCTCCAAAAGAAGAACCTAAAACAACTAGTACACTTTACCTGTGGGGAGTATTTAACTAATTATACTTTGCTATGAATGAATTTACCTAGGTTTTTATATTTCTGGGGAGCCCAGGTGGTGCAGTGGTTAAGCAGTCAGTTGCTAGCTGAAAGGTAGGCGGTTGGAACCCACCAGCCTCTCCACAGGAGAAAGATGTGGCAGTTTGCTTCTGTAAAGATTACAGCCTTAGAAACCCTATGGGGCAGTTCTGCTCTGTCCTGTAGGTTGCTGTGAGTCAGAATTGACTTGATGGCAATAGATTTGGTTTGGCTATTGGTTTACATTTCTAAGTTTATTTCTTGTTAAGAAATGCTATCACTTTTTAAGGGAATTTTAGGAAACACGAAATAGTGAAGCTGGCAATGGAGGTTGGGGAGGGCAGCACCTGAGTCCCCCATCACCTAAGTCCCACCTGAGGGTAAATCTGATTTGCCTTCTTTAGGAGTAGCTGTGTGTTCAGAGGTGCTACCCAGAGGGGAGGTTAACTGTTAAAAGAGCTCAGACTGAGACTTACCCAGTTCTGGTTATGGGGCGTGGTTTCTCAGAAGCTGCTGGTGGGTAGAGTCAGAAACCTCTGCTGGCCTCTGTCTTCTTACGCTGGGGCAAGGCTTGCCATGGCGGGCTCCTAGGAGCCCCTTTCTTCTCACCCCTCCTGCCTCTGGCCCGTTTTCCCTGCCTGCCCTTATGATGGTATTCTTCCCTCGGTTAGCTGTTCACAAGCACCTCACGAGGATTGAACGGTATGTTTGTGAAGAATGAGTCTTTCTGCAGTAAGCTCTTCCCTCTGATCTTACGGCATACCCCAGCGCTCTGTTTGGTGTCTGCCTCTGGCACAAGGTGTTTTACCATGAAGTGGCCACTCGAAGCCGCGGGCCTTTCCTAGAACCGGGGCCCTGTGGGAAGACTGCTGTGTTAGACTGTCCGTTCATTCACTGTCACAGGTGGCGCTGGTTCTGGGCATACCACTTGGGACGTGAGCAGCCACATGTTTTCATTTTACTTAAAGCAGGTGAAGTCAAAGCTCCAGGGTATTTATAACTGCGGTGCAGTCGTATGTTCTTTTTTAAAGTCTTATCTTTGCCTCTGCAGTTCTTTTTTTTTTAAATGTGGATTATGGCTCCCTAGGGAATAGCTTTGATTTGCCAACCCTTTTCTGTAATTCTGCCTGCATTTTTTTCTTTTAAAAATGCCTTTGTGAAAGAGGCAATGTAACAGAGATGTTGTAAGGTTGAATGCTCTTATCCATTTTCCTGGTTTTATTTTGTTTTGATTTCAGGAGAAACTGTCTCTTCGACAACAGCTGAACGAGGCAAAGCAGCAGCTGCTGCAGCAGGCTGAGTACTGCACAGAAATGGGGGCGGCAGCTTGCACCCTCCTGTGGGGGGTCTCCAGCAGCGAAGAGGTTGTCAAAGCCATCCTGGGAGGAGTAAGTATGACGCACGGGCTCATCTGCGTATTGTTGATCACGTTTACGTAACTTATGTCACTGACACAGCCCTTACAGACTAAGCCCTTTCTTTCTGTTAACTTACGTGCATCCATTCATCAAATAGTTATTGCCCACCTACAGTGTGTAGTTCATCGTAACCTGGTGCTCTGGGGGTATGTAAAGATGAATGAAGTAAGGCCTCTCCCTCGAAGGACCTGCACGGTATTTGTGGATGTAAGTTACTACCACTTCAAGATTACTACTGGACATTTATACGCGTTTAACAAGGTTTAAAGTGCTTTTATATTATCTCATGGTTCATACTTAATTTATTGAACCTGTATGTTATTTGGAGCCCTGGTGGCCCAGTGGTTAAGAGCTTGGCTGCTAACCAAAAGGTCAGCAGTTTGAATCCGCCAGGTGGTCCTTGGAAACGCTATGGGACCGTTCTGCTGTGCCATATAGAGTGGCTATGAGCTGGAATCGACCTATGGCAGTGGATTTTTTTGGTTTTATATGTTATTTAACATATGTTTATATATGTTAATTAGTACATATATGTATTGGGGAACTTCACAGAGAAGGAGGGTTTGAAATGGGCCTTGATTAACTTTAATAGGTCGAAATGGCAGACGATGGGCATAGGGTGAGGAGTCTAATGTTTGTTTTAAGCACAGTAAGTAGGGCAGTTGACACAGAGTGAAGGGTTTACGGAGCAAAATAGTGGGGAGGCAAGGCTTAAAAGGTGCATTGGACTGTGCCTGTGGAAGATCTAAATGCCAGGTTGATGGTGTTCTTCTGTAGGTGGCAGGACTGGATTCCTTAGGGAGTGTCAGTAAAGGAGCAATAGGGCCAGAGCTGAATGTTAGGAAGATTACCCCGGCAGCGAGGTGAGGATGGTGTTGGTAGTGGGGAGACTAACTAAGAGGCCCTTCCAGTGAGGCAGGCAGGTGGGATCTAGGCTCTGTAAGGGCAGCAGGTTGGAGGTGGTAGGCAAGAGGAAAGGAGGCGCCAAGGAAGACAGGTTCAACTCTGGGAAAACGGTGCGATCATGCAGGGAAGTAAAAGTTGAGAGGAGGATGGTTGGCGGGAGAAGAGTGATACATTTGTTAGATAACAGCTGGCTTATGGAAATAAAAATTGCATTTGCCTTTAGATGGAAGGGACTAAATGCATTCACGTTTTAAACAGGTTTACTGAGGTGTGGTTTGCGTACTCCAGTGTAAGAGTACAGTGCACTTGTTCCTGGCGGATTTCTAGACTTGTGCAGTCGTCACGACGACCCAGTGTAGGACATTTCTGTCACCCCGGAAAGTTCCCTGGTGCTCATTTGGAAATCATTGGTTTTTAAATGATTCTTCAGAACTCCAGCACCCACAGGGAAGTGCTTCAAAGGCCCTGCAAGCTTGGGAACATTGGTGCCACGTAATGAAGATTTAAACTGCCATAGCAACCTGCTTACTGTGGTTACCTTTTTACATGTTGAGTTTTCAGTTAGTTTTCTTTGGAAAAAAATTCCAGTAAAGGTTTGAAAATCTCTGGTTTAATGCATAGAAGGAACAGGCAGACAATGTATTTTTCTACTGTATTTCTGTTGTATTTTTGGGTGAATTCATCCCAGTACTTCCATCATTGTGTAAATTTATCCTATTTCATTCGTATGTGTATGAATGTGAATTTTCTTTTACTCTTTCTCATCAGTTTTTAGCGTAATTTTTCTTGCTCCTCCTTGCCCCAAACTTCTTTTCTCTGATCTTTTCAGTGGAAACTTTAAATGAAGAAACGGATTTTAAAATAACACTTCTATAATCATCTTCTGTATCCTGTATTTACAAAATATTTTTATACTGTATCTGTGAAAGGGTATGATACTTTCATTTCCAAATTTCCAGGATAAAGCCCTGAAGTTTTTCAACATCACTGGTCAGACAATGGAGAGTTTTGTGAAGTCCCTCGATGGGGATGTCAAGGAGCTTGATTCTGATGAGAACCAGTTTGTTTTTGCTTTGGCTGGGATTGTAACAAGTAAGTGATTCTTTTCAAATGTGGTGATTGCTACATATGTGTTCTAGAACAGTGCTTACCAATCAGGTGTGTGTTTGCTTAAACATCACTTGGGAACATTTTCAAATGTCTGTACTGCTGGACTTCTTCACCCTGGAGAATCTGATTCAGTAGGTCTGGCAGAGGTATTTTGGAAAATCTCTCCAGGTGATTCTGATAAGTATCGGTGATTATGAAGGACTGATCTAAAGGAAATACAGTATGAGCTTGCATGTTCTGTTCAGTTATGTACATAGACAGAAGTCCATATAAAACTGTAAGTTTAATTACTTATCTGGAATCATCCTCCTTTTACTAATGCCTGGTCAGCTAAAGGAAAAGCCTGAAGCAAAGCTTAAGCTATACTCATCTGTCAGTTTGTCATACTATGGTGCTTGCATGTTGCTGTGATGCTCGAAGCTATGCTACTGGTATTTCAAATACCAGCAGGGTCATCCATGGTGGACAGGTTCCAGCGGAGCTTCCAGACAGAGGAGGGATAGGAAGAAGGATCTTGCAATCACTTCTGAAAAAATTGGCCAGTGAAAACCTTACAAATAGCAGCGGAACGTTGTCTGATACAGTACTGGAAGATGAGTCCCTCAGATTGGAAGGCACTCAAAATACGACTGGGGAAGAGCTGCCTCTTCAAAGTAGAGTTGACCTTAATGATATGGATGGAGTCAAGCTTTCAGGACCTTCATTTGCTGATGTGGCACGACTCAAAATGAGCAGAAACAGCTGCAAACAACCATTAATAATCGGAATGTGGAATGTACCAAGTATGACCCTTGGAAAATTGGAAATCATGAAAAATGAATGGAACACATAAACATCGGTATCCTACGCATTAGTGAGCTGAAATGGACTGGTATTGGCCATTTTTAATCAGACAATTATATGGTCTACTATGCCGGGATTGACAAATGAAAAAGGAATGATGTTGCTTTCACCGTCAAAAAGAACATGTCAAGATTTATCCTGAAGTACAGTGCTGTCAGTGATAGGATAATACCCATTCGCCTACAAGGAAGACCAGTTAATGTGACTATCATTCAAATTTACACACTAACCAATAGGCCAAAGATGAAGAAATTGAAGGTTTTTACTAACTTCTGCAGTCTGAAATTGATCATATATGCCATCAGGATGCATTGATAATTACTGGTGATTGGAAGCTAAAGTTGGAAACAAAGAAGGTTCAGTAGTTGGAAGATATGGCCTCAGTGATGGAAACAATGTTGGAGATTGCGTGACAGAATTTTGCAAGACCAACAACTTCTTCATTGCAAATACCTTTTTCACCAACATAAACAGTGACTGTACATGTGGACCTCGCCAGATGGAATACACAGGAATCAAATCGACTACATCTGTGGAAGGAGACGATGGAAAAGCTCAATATCATTGGTTGGGGCCAACCGCAGAACAGACCATTAATTGCTCATATGCAAGTTCAAGTTGAAACTGAAGAAAATTAGAACAAGTCCCCAAGAGCGAAAGTGTGACCTTGAGTATATTCCACATGAATTTAGAGACCATCTCAAGAATAGACTTAATGCATTGAGCACTAATGACCAAAGACCAGATGAATTGTGGAATGACAGCAAGGACATCATACATGAAGAAACCAAGAGATCATTAAAAACACAAGCAAGAAAGAAAAGACCAAAATGGATGTTAGAAAAGACTCCGAAGCTTGCTTTTGAATGTAGAGTAGCTAAAGCAAAAGGAAGAAACGATGAAGTGTAAAAGAGCTGAACAGAATATTTCAAAGGGCAGCTCAAGAAGACAAAGTAAAGTATTATAATGGCATGTGCAGAGACCTAGAGTTAGAAAACCAAAAGGGAAGAACACACTTGGCATTTCTCATGCTGAAAGAGCTGAAGAGAAAATTCAAGCCTCGAGTTGCTATGGGGAAAATTTTGTTTTTCTAAATTTTTTTAGTGTACTTTAGATGAAGGTTTACAGAACAAATAGTTTCTCATTAAACAGTCAGTACACATATTGTTTTATGACATTGGTTAACAACCCCGCGACATGTCAACACTCCCTTCTTCACCTTGAGGACCTTCTTTTTGGTGAAAATATACATAGCCAAAGTTACACCATTTTGAAAGGTTCTACATGTACAATTCAGTGACATCGATTACATTCTTCCAGTTGTGCTGCTGTTCTCACTGTCCTTTTCCAAATTATTCTATCACCATTATCTTCAACTCACTGTCCTCTAGGCTTCCCATCAAACCTTTTGAGTTGCTGTTGTCAATTTGATCTCATATAGATAATTTTTTTTTTTTTTGTACCTTAGATAAAGGTTTGCAGAACAGTTTCTCATTAAACAGTTAGTACACATATTGCCCTATGACAGTGGTTAACAACCCCATGACATGTCAACACTGTCCCTTCTCAACCTTGGGTTCCCTATCACCAGCTTTCCTGTCCTCTCCTGCCTTCTAGTCCTTGTCCCTGGACTGCTGTGCCTCATTAGTCCTGTTTTGTTTTATGACCGCTGAGCTAAAAGGGTGTCCGAGGGCCATACTCTTAGGGTTTCTCCAGTCTGTCAGAGCAGTAAATCTGGTCTTTTTTTGTGAGTTAGAATTCTATTCTACATCCTTTTCCAGCTCTGTCCACGACCCTCTATTGTGATCCTGGTCAGAGCAGTCAGTGGTGGTAGCCGGACACTATCTAGCTGTACTGGACTCAGTCTGATGGAGGCTGTGGTAGCTGTGGTCCATTAGTCCTTTGGACTAATCTTTTCCTTGTGTCTTGTTCTCTTCATTCTCCCTTGCTCCCGAAGGGGTGAGACCAGTGGAGTATCTGAGATGGCTGCTCACAGGCTTTTAAGACCCCAGACGCTACTCACCAAGGTGGAATGTAGAAAATTGTCTTTAAAAACTGTGTTATGCCAGTTGAGCTAGATGTTCCCCGAGACCATGGTCCCCAAAGCCCTCCACCCGACAATTCAGTCACTCAGGGAGTTTGGATGTGTCTATGGAGCTTCCATGACCTTTCCTTGTACAAGTTGTGCTGGCTTATGGAGAAAATATTAAATGACGCAGAAACCATCAAAAGAAAATGGAAGGAATACACACAGTCACTGTATCAAAAAGAATTGGTTGACATTGAACCATTTCAGGAGGTAGCACGTGATCAAGAACCGATGGTACTGAAGGAAGAAGTCCAAGATGCACTGAAGGTGTTGGTGAAAAACAAGGCTCCAGGAATTGACAGAATACCAGTTGAGATGTTTTCAACAAACAGATACAGCCCTGATAGCACTCACTGGCCTATGCCAAGATATTTGGAAGACAGCTACCTGACTGACTGGAAGAGATCCATATTTGTGCCCATTCCAAAGAAAGGTGATCCAACAGAATGTGGAAATTATCGAACAATATCATTAATATAACACACAAGTAAAATTTTACTGAAGATCATTCAAAAGCGGTTACAACAGTACATCAACAGGGAACTGTCAGAAACTCAAGCCAGATTCAGAAGAGGGATGTGGAACGAGGGTAATCATTGCTGATGTCAGATGGCTCCTGGCTGAAAGCAGAGGATACCAGAAAGATGTTTACCTGTGTTTTATTGACTATGCAAAGACATTCGACTGTGTGGATCATAACAAATTATGGATAACACTTTGAAGAATGGGAATTCCAGAACACTTAATTGCGCTCATGCGGAACCTGTACATAGACCAAGAGGTAGGCGTTCAAAGAGATCACGGGGATACTGCATGGTTTAAAAGCAGGAAAGGTGTTCATCAGTGTTGTATCCTTTCACCATACTTATTCAGTCTGTATGCTGAGAAAATAATCTGAGAAACTGGACTATAGGAAGAAGAATGCAGCATCAGGATTGGAGGAGAACTCATTAACAGCCTGTGATATGCAGATGACACAACCTTGCTTGCTTGAAGTGAAGAGGACTTGAAGCACTTACTGTTGAAGATCAAAGACTAAAGCCTTCAGTATGGATTGTACCTCAACATAAAGAAAACAAAAATCCTCACAACTGGACCAGTAAGCAACATCATGATAAATGGGGAAAAGTTTGAAGTTATCAAGGATTTCATTTTACTTGGATTCACAATCAATGTCCATGGAAGTGGCAGTCAAGAAATCAAATGATGTATTGCAATTGAGCAAATCTGTTGCCAAAGACCTCGTTAAAGTGCTAAAAAGCAAAGATGTCACTTTGCGTACTAAGGTGTGCCTGACCCAAGCCATGGTGTTTTCAATTGCCTCATATGCATGCGAAAGCTGGACAATGAGCAAAGAAGACTGAAGAAGAATTGATGCCTTTGAATTATGGTGTTGGCCAGGAATACTGAATACACCATGAACTGCCAGAAGAACGAATAAGCCTGTCTTGGAAGAAGTACAGCCTTAGAAGTTAGGATAATCCACTCCTTAGAAGCAAGGATGGCAAGACTTCATCTCACATACTTTGGACTTTTTATTAGGAGGGACCTGTCCCTGGAGAAGGACATCATTCTTGGTAAAGTAGAGGGTCAGCGAAAAAGAGGAAGACCCTCAATGAGATGGATTGACACAGTGGCTGTAACAATGGGCTCAAGCATAACAACATGTCTGAGGATGGCGTAGGACCAGGCAGTGTTCGTTCTGTTGTACAGAGGGTCACTAAGTTGAAACCAATTCATGGCACCTAACAACAACAACAACAAAGTAGAGGGTCAGCAAAAAAGAGATGGACCCTCAATGAGGTGGATTGACAAAGTGGCCGCAACAATGGGCTCAAACATAGCAAAGATTGTGAGGGTGGTGCAGGACTGGGCAGTGTTTTGTTCTGTTGTATATAGGGCCGCTGTGAGTTGGAACCAACTCAGCAGCACCTAACAACAACAGTAACATCCCAAACCAAAACTGTCTCTTCAGTAAATTTCTCTGAAGGGATTATAAAGTAAACTTTTCACTCGGAGTTATGATAACATTCCATCAAAATTGTTTTCA